AGCAGTCGCCTCATTGTTCTGACACACAACACAAAACTATCCACAACACTACACACTAACTACAATACACATTAACTACACACTCCAAACATGCTAAACGTCACAAATCTCTCACATCTCAAAACGCCCTCTCTCTCTTTTTCTGCTGTCTCTCTCTCTCTCTCTCTCTCGCTGTCACTCCTAAAACTTCCCCCTCTTCCTAAACAACCAAATGTCATGTTGCCATATCATTTTTGATTGGTTGACATGGTGCATTTTTCCACCAAGACGAAAGGGCAGGTTTGTTTTTGTTTTTTTTTTGTTGTTGTCATAAGCAGAGAGTGCTCGCTGCGCTGTCCTTAGACGTTAAACAGGCCGAAACTATTGAGGAAAAAACGCCACGTATATTGTTTATCATGACTCCGGTTTTACTTGGCCTATTGACACAATTTAAAAACTGGTATATATCACCTTATTGCTTTGTCATCTTGAAGTGGTCATGTGATTTGCTTACCACGACTACTTTATTCTTCCTCAGACAAACAGCAGCATTCCTGCCATTGTTTTGCTTCTTGCTCTTGTGCCAGAAAGTGATCGTCGGGCAGACAGTGATTGCCGTCCGCGGGAGCGCACGCAGCTGCTTAAAGCTGTAGCGTCCAGATTACTTACAGCTACTTCCGTGCAACTGATATAAGATGCGGTAAGAAGACAGCTTCAACCATCTGTTTACTAAAAAAAATAATGCAGTGCGGTCGCGTTACTTTCTTCTTAGTAACGGTAACGGCGTTGTAACGATAGAAATAGTAATTAGTTAGATTACTCGTTACTGAAAAAAGTAACACCGTTACTTCCATCACTGCTCATCCCTTTGCGTGTTGTTTTACTGGTATAGGTTTATGATTTTTAACTATTTTTACCACCATTAGATAATGTCTCTGGAGTAGGTGGCACTCATAGGGATAATAATATTTAGAAGAAAAGTCATATAAACAGTCATATGAAAGCCATATAAAATTGAATTTAATAGTCAGATGCTACCAACACTACCCCTTTCATGTAAACATCCAAGGGAAACCCTGGGTCAACTTAAAGAGTTAAGGTTTGTGTCACCACTTATTCTAATAGACAATGTTAGGGTCAGTGAACAAAGATAGCCTGGATTTGTTGAACTCGTAGTGTAGAGCCCACTGGGGTATTCCAGGAAGCAGGTTTAGAGAACAACTCCATGGCTGTGTCCCAATTCAGGGTCTGCACGCTTGAAGTATGCATTTTAAGTGCGATTACGTCACCGCCACGCGACGACGGCTGTCCCAATTCGAAGTGTACTTCAAATGCATACTCCAAATGCGCCGTCGATTTCCCCAAATATCAAGCGTGGTCCAATGCACGCTATTTTCTGCAAGTACCGCTGCTTCGCCTCTGAACGAAATCGGTCTCTATACAGTCCATTCTCTTTTGAGCTGCTTTTAAGCATCTTGTAATCGTTGTACCAACACAGTGCGTTTGTTTTGATTCGTAGACCCCGAAAATGGTGCCGCGCTCCCACAATGCATTGCGGCGTGACGTCAACTCCAAAGCCCTATATCCCACAATTCATAGCGC